AAGTGCTTATTCGTAAAATTTAATATTACCATTTATTTACCATGTAAGATTTTAGTCTATTAAAACGACATCGTATGCAACAATTTACCCGGTAAGTGCTTACCGTATAAGACTTTTGGTTTTTGTCTCGTTCTTACCGGGTAAGATTCTTGGTCCATACCATATTCATCCGGTAAAGTAATGTGACTTAGTAAGCACCTATTCAAGCGTTTGATAAACGACCCTTAAAAAGATGTACCGAGATGCACTAGATCAATTTCCCGTAATAAGCATGGTTAATAGGATGAAGTGAGATTAAAAATGATTAGGGGTTCAAACCTTTTTTTAGGCTTATCTCCTTAACTTCTATTATTATATGATTCTTCCTCTTAGTTAATATACGGTAAGTATTGTGAAGTTTAAATTTTGAACATTCTGAAAAACTAGACTCTAACGTTAATCGAAATACAATTAGGTCAATTATGATAATTTGATTAGCAATATAGCAGCATTCATATATGATTGCTATATATACATATACGTATACACACACATATATATATATATATAATCATGTTTACACCGAAAGTTGTATTATATCTCCCCTGCTTTTACTTTTACATTTAGAGATTCATTAAACTATCATTTCTTTTATGATTCTTAATTAATCCGATCATCGCTAGTATTAAAAATACATTGGTCTATCATCATTTTCATTACTAGCTAAATGAATGACAATACAATAAAAGCAGTTTTATAGCATCTTTAAAATGTCTAATTAAGAGTGTTAAATACTTTAAAATATGACCAAATAAAAAATCGTTATATCTAAAAGTATTACAATAAGTTTATAAAACATTCTTAGGCGTTTTAACGATTGAGTTTTAAAATAAAGTATCATACTAGATATTTTATACGATATTATTTGAAAAAATATCAAAAATTGTTTTTTGCAAATATATATCAAAGATTATATGTAAAAAATAAAAGATTTATGTTTAATTTATAATCATAATTAATTGAGGCCGAAAATAAAAGTTAAGGTGGAGAAAAGTGGTGGGTAATTAAGCACTGACAACATATTTGGTGAAAACAAACTTATGACTTGTTTTCTTTCTATTTTTGGCAAAAAAAAATTCAATATTTTGTCAGGGAGCAAGCCAGTGTTGTAAGCAAGAAGCCCTTTTGGGAGTATATGCATATATAGTTTTTCACTTCATATATATATATATATATATATACATATATATAGAACCAACTGATAACGTTTAATTAATTACACAAGAAAACCGATTTTAATCCCAAATTAAATCCATACATATAAGAATCATGTCACTCATATATATCATTCATATTTGTGTGTGTGTGTATATATATGTGTGTATATATATATATATATATATATATATAGAGAGAGAGAGAGAGAGAGAGAGTGTGTGTGTGTGTGTGTGTGTGTGTGTGGGGATATATATGTATCTTTTAGGTAATTGAATTAAAGAGATTTTGTGATCTGAGTGTTTGGGAAAATGATTATACAGACATAAAATAAGATGTTTTGGTTTGGAAAAGGGGAATTGTTGTTGCATTATGTTATGTATGTGGAATATGAAACATGCAAAACTTGGTTCACTTTTCATTTTGATATTATTTACATGGATGCTGCTTTATTAAAGTCCTCAATTAACATGGATCTTTCATTCTTCCCATCTTTCTCCAATTACTTAACCATCATCTCATTATATATATATATATATATATATATATATATATATATATATATGGGCTCATTCAAAAGAAAACTGATTAGTTTGTGGTAACTGTGAGATCCAATTTCAACCACAAATCAACGGATAAATTAGGAACTTAATAATTATAGTAGTTTGAGTTAAAATTATAATTAGAGGGCATTTTAGGTATTTTTAAAAGACTCATCTCTCTTCTCTTCTCTCTCCTCTCTCATCTCTCCGACCTCCAATCTCCGGCCTCCGGTGAATAAAAATCCGGCAAGTACCAAGTAATCACAAAGATACACAATGTGATACCCATTATGATATATTGTGATACCATTTGAGTACCACTGTATATCACAATGGGTATCACATTGTGTATCGTTGTGACTACTTGGTACCTGCTGGATTTTTGTTCTCCGGAGGCCGGAGAGACAAGAGATGAGATATGAGAGAGGAGAGAGAAGAGAGAAGTTTTTTAAAAATACCTAAAATGCCCTCTAATTATAATTTTAACTCAAACTATCTTAATTATTAATTTTCTAATTTATCGATTGATTTGTGGTTGAGATTGGATCTCACAGTTACCACAAACTAATTAGTTTTCATTTGACTAATGTTACACTTTAACGTTTGGTCTTATAAACTTATGTCTTATAAAACAATCTATTGAAGTAATTATACAATTTTGACGTCCTATAAACCTAATTTCATTTACCAAATTGAGTATTTTTTGTTCTTTGTTAGGACCCCACGTAACTAGGATGCATTATATACAGCCCATTTTATACATACTTTCACGTGGTTTTAAATATTCTTTTTAAGGGGTGTGTGTATATATATATATATATATATATATATATATATATATATATATATATATAGCAAGGCTCAACTAATTAATTCACAATCTTCTTTGCTATTCAAATTCAACTTAACCCATTAATTTAAATATTATTTATGCAGATCATATAAGTAGGAAAAAGATGCTAGTAAGACTACATATATATCAGCCCTTGGTTACACAAAGTAAACAGTACAACAACGTTCTCAATTTGTGTTCTTTTTATTTATAAATATATATATATATATATATATACACATGTGGGTGAACACACATGTATATAAAAGTATATATGATGATTGATTGTACAACCCTCTTTTTAAAATTAAGAATGTATTTGACAAACTATTTGATAAGGTGACTAATGTTTAAAAAACTAATTGATAAGCTAATTAATTATCTTTGATAACACATCTAAATATTTCTTTTCAAGTACAAAGATTAAGCCAATTTATGAGTAGCTCTCGTATTCCTCATATGCATGTTGCCCTTCACTTACTACTTCGGTATATTCCTCTGAGCACAATCTTTGTTACTACTTCGGGAGTTCTGAATATCGGGTTCACATGAGTGAAAGTTTAAGGCATTTTCTAGATTCGAATCGGACAGCTTATCCAGGCTCACAAAGATATGATATAGGGATTATGTCTTCTTACGAGATTCATTGGATTTCTTGGCCATCAAAGAAACAATATGTGGTTTCCGAGCATCCAATAAGGTTGAATATCGGGCTATATATGGTAGTTGTTACATGATTTTGGTATTCATTGTGAATCGCATGCTTTAATGCTTTGTGATAATACTTCAGTAAATTTAATTAGCCTCTAATTATCCTATCCTTCATGAACACAATTAACGCAGTGAAGTGGATTATCACTTTATTCTGGAGAAGTTTACTTATAATACCATCAAGCTCATGCCTATATTCAAACTTAATTTCGATTTGTAGACATGTTTACCAATCCTCTACCACATTACAAGCTTTTTTTATTAACCTGGATATTCAACCTGCTATGCGAGCCGACTAATCTCATGGCGACCACCTGCAAAGCAGATAGTCCGGAGTCACCGCATGTAAACCTCCATGGCCACAAAGAGATTTTTATTTCTCCTTGGATTTAAACATGAGACTTCCTGGTACTTTTGACTTTTGAAGCCAAGTTCAAACCAATCAAGCGCCACCCTTGTGGTTCACATTACAAGCTTTAACCATCGATGTCCAAGTTTCAGTTACATTTTTCAAGCTCGTGTTGACGGGGAGTGTTAGATTTATAATTACTAACCAAACATGTTAGTTAAGCTCTTTACTAGTTGGTTATTGTTTAACAAACATGATTCTTTTATGCTATAAAATGTAAAATAGTAATATGATCGTTTTAACTCATTCAGTACATATAGAATACTTCTCCCCATCCTTTCTCTATTTTTCGGCTCTAATAACTAGCTGATATAGTAAATAACAAAGTAAAAGAACAATTAAGAAAACATGTCGAAAAGTTAATTAAACGAAATATAAGAGACGTAATTGAAAAAGCCTCTTGAGCTTAGTTACTAAATGCTACTTAATTAATCCCACAAGTATATTTTTCAATAAACTCCAAAAATATATTATCTTATGGTTGCAGAACATCCCTAAATGCAAAAATTACCGATATTTCAAAAATTACTCGAACATGTTTCTTGTGTGATTCTATCTCAAATAATTAAATGATTTTTCTATGCATGGTTTGTGAAATATTTGACGATAGATCATTTTTCACACTTTTTTCATCATTCAAAACATGTTTTCATGAAATGTTATGCATAACGATATCTATGTAAATAAGCAATATTTAAAATTACGATCACAAAATTGATGATTAGGTTCAACAATAGAGTATATCCCTCACTTTGGAGTAAATAAATGTAATTACATTACGACATATTAAAAATATTGTATCATTGATCAAATATCCTAAATATATATATATATATATATATATATATATATTCCGTATAATAAAATCTATCAGTCAATGTTTCTGAAATTATCAAAAAGTAAAAAGACGTTATGGTTAATTTGGACATTGTGAGAGAAAACGAGCATTGGTTGATATATAACATTAATTGTAAACATATTTGAAATATTTTAGAGACTTTGGTTTCGATTTTACATGCATAATTTTCAATCAATTAAATACCAAAAATACATAAATAAATAAACGACCATGATCAATCTTCAAGAGCTTTATAAGAACAAAGAAAATTAAAGGGTTCCTAAATAATGGTTTAAGAATTAAGATGATGGACCTGTTACTGTATGTCAAAACTGGATTAATATGATTTTAAATAAAAATCTCTCTCTCTCTCTCTCTCTCTCTAGACCTAGATACATACACAATAAAGCACATAGAACGTCCACACAAAACTCTCAAACATTCCCTTTTATGCTTTTTGAACAACAGTGGAAAGTAAAGGCTCATCTCTCTCTCTCTCTCTCTCTCTCTCTTGATTTGCTCCTTTCAGCTAGCCATGGATACGGCTCACTGGCCACAGGTACAAAGTTAGATCTTTCACCTTCTTCATGATCTCCACTAGTTACCCACCAAAAGCATAAGTTTTGGGGGTTTTCTGTTGTTTTTGGTTGAATTGTTCATTTCACGAGTTACACTTATGGTATCCAGATCAAACCAAACTAGTAGCTACAGTTTTGCTCTAATTTCTACATCTGTATATATTTTATTTTCTTGAAAGATAATCAATTATGATGATCGTCCATAATCAGAAGCAAGTTTCTGATTTTCTACTGTCTTTTCAATCTCTTGTTTTCAACCACTAATTATCTTTCTTCAAAGAGATTAATTGTGTCAATTTATGATCGAATATATCGATATATGCGGGATCGATAAAGGGTGGATTTGTATTTAGTTTGTATGTGCTGCTTAATCTTGAAGACCGGTTTTTATGGATTTCTGAAAAGCATAAAGCTGTTGCCTTGTTGTGTTCATTTGTCTGCAAATCTTAAAAAGTTTTTGGATCTTTATGTCTTTATCTTCCCTTTTTTTGCAAATAAATTTCTTACTTTTTCTTTATGTGTTTTGTTTAAATAGGAGATAGCAATCAAACCTATGGAAGAAATAGTGGTACAAAACGGTACGAATTCATGTTCTTCAAAGCCATCTTCAAATTCTTCGTCTTTGGAAAGAAGGGGAACAAGGCCACAAAAAGAAGCAGCTATAAACTGTCCAAGATGCAATTCTACAAACACCAAGTTTTGTTACTACAACAATTACAGCCTTTCCCAGCCTAGATACTTTTGCAAGACTTGTAGAAGATACTGGACTGAAGGTGGGTCCCTTAGAAACGTCCCTGTTGGTGGCGGCTCGCGGAAGAACAAGCGATCATCGTCTTCTATTTCGTCATCTCATTCTTCGATGTCAAAGAAGCTTCCTGATCTGGTTGTACCTCCAGCTGCACCAAACCCTAGGATGCATCATGAACACGGGCAAGACCTCAATCTGGGTTTCCCATCAACCAGTCATGATTTCAAGACAATTTCTGAGCTTATCCAGGTTCCCAATTTTGATGGGACCAAGAATACCACTTCTGGTTCAGCCACCACCACCACTTCAGCTCAACTTTCAGCCTTAGAACTCTTGACAGGAATGACAACAAGGGGTATGATGAATTCCTTCATGCCAATTCCAATTCCTGATCCCAATTCAGTCTACTCATCGTCAGGACAGCTGATGATTCCCATGCCAGAATTCAAGATTCCGTCGCTTAATTTTTCCTTGGATGGAATGGGAGGTAATGGAGGTGGGGGTGGTACGTATGGAAGTAGCATCCATGATCAGAGTTCCAGTGGGAGGCTTTTGTTCCCATTTGAAGATCTGAAAACAAGCACATCAGCTACAACCACTCATGATGGACATCATGTTGAACAAAATAGAGATCAGAATGGTGATACCAATGGCTTTTGGAGTGGAATGTTAGGAGGAAGTTCATGGTAAAGTACAATTATATATATTTATATCTATATACAGTATTAAAAAAACATCAATCTGGGGGTTAAATTTTTCTTTCTTTCTTTCTATCGACCGCGCGGCCGTTTCAAATGATTATTTTTCTAATCTCAAAATGGTGGGTGGTGATGACTTGTTTGGATTTCTTGAGAAACTAACTTGATAGGATCATCATACAACTATTTCTTGGGTGATCTCTTCTATCCATTCCTCTCTCTCCTCTAGCTTTCTGTGTAAACATATATATATTCATGTTTAGTGATACCTATCTTGATTAATCATCTCCTAATCTTCAACCAAGAGAAGAGATTCTTGTTATGATCATCAGAAGATATGAATTGAAGAGAAGATGATCGATCAAGAAGAACAATCAAAGCCCAGAATATTTCTAGCTAGTGACAGAATTGAAGGAAACTACGAAGAGAAACCGACTGTTGTGTATCATTGGTTATTGGGTTTGGGGTACAAACAATTAATAATGTATGATGTGCAATTTGTATGAATTTGGTTGAATTTCTTGATGCAAGTTTAATGCGTGTTTCTGCTTCAACCTTCATTAGTCTCGTGGTATATAATATATATATACACACGACATCTCTTTCATACAAAGTTAAGAGTCTTTTATGGCGCACACACATTGTCAATCTATTATTAATGCTGGTTTAGTGCAGAAAGCTGATTATAATAAGGATAAGAATTGAAGGATTTAAGGTCTGTTCCCGCTCACTGTATGTGTGTGTATATACATATATACATATATATATATATATATGTGTGTGTGTGTATCATAAATTAGTGTATATGGAGAAGTTGAAACTGCTTCAACTGAAAGTTTGAAACCAGTTACTTGGAATTCATGGTAGCTAGCTATATGAAAATAGTCTGTGAGGCTATGTGTGCATATACACGAATATGTAGAGTTGTACAGTACAACACTTGAAGATGTTTGGTTATTTTCAACTTGACTCCAACTTTTTCCAAAGTGAATGATGCATGATGATTACTTTACTTTACCATGCCATGTTTCTTTAAAATATTGTAATGTTTTCAAATTTCTTGTTTCCACTTTGAAAAAGATCTGACAAGAACCCTACTTTTTAACCTAAAGCTTTATATATGCTCAGATGAGGGACCTAAAACATTCCCCTTGGTGAATGTGAAACTTAACGGAATAAAGATCAATATCCACTTGATCATCATCTACATATATAATTAATTAATGAAGTTAATTAGTCATTGGAGGTCTTTGCTGTAACCCACTCCAAGTGCATATAAACACCTGTTATATGTTACTTTATGTGTTGCAGTATATAATATATGATATATGTATGTACAGTATATATGGCTGAGATAGAGATGCATGATGAGCATTAATGGTGCATGATGTTGGAGGTCACTTTCAGTTGCCAAATTGAGAGGCCTAACTCACTCACACATCTGATGTGTAGTTGCTGTACTAGGGTTTCTTCGATCTCATGGGGTCAGTCACATGAGTATCAGTGAAACTCCATCCACTCTACTTTAACCCAAAAGTGAATCAAACATGAATTACCTACGTTACATCTATGGAGGATGTGAATATATATATATATATATATATATGTTGAAAAACTACAAAAATAAAATAACGAAAAGTATATTAATAACCATTCATTTGTAGGGTATATACATCTGCATACAACTAAGTTGTCGGATATGCACATGTACATAGAAACCAGAAAAAATCTTTAATTATTTACATGCATATCGTACAGATAAATGATTATTATGATATTTATTAGTTTTTCATAGTTTTAGAGACCTTCCCTTTAACCTCATTATATGTTATTATGGAAAAGTTCCATTAGGAACCCAAGAATCATCCACAACACGTCAGATGTTTCTATTCGAGACGAACATTCATTATTAATAATACATTCATGAGGAATATGAAACTGTTATTTGGACGTGTTATGGATGTTATTCATCATGAAACACACATTCATGATGAATGTGTTACAATGATAACTAACACATCCATATTCTTGACAAACATGTCATGTGTCCTGATACAAACAGTTCCTTGATTGTTCCTTGATTCCTAAAAGAATACATATATATATAATCAAATACCCACTCATGATCTCTTATATGTGCATTTTCCAAAAGCTACAACTGCTTATGCAAGTAGACACCATGTTATAATTTTTTAATCTTTTAAGTACTTCACATTCATATGGTGTCAAGATTTTACTTAAACTCTCATATCTATATATTAATTATATACCATTCTTATTAGAGTATGTTAATTAAGCTGGGAGGTAAACATATAATGAAATGAAGTAAGATGATCCATGATAACTATATATAACTATAGACACACACATATATATATATATATATATATATATATTATATGGGATTCGAAGCAAATCTGGAATCATAACAAAGTTGAAACACTCTTTGATGTATAAACTGTAGTTTAATTAGGAAATAAACTAGAAGAAGAAGAAGAAGAAGACAGGGTACTTTGGCCCCAGTAAGGTTGCATTTTGCACAAGCAAAAGTATTGATGATATAAAGGTAGCATGCATCACTACATATGATTAATGTGTCCCAACAAAGGAGTGTCCTCAAAGGTAGAAGCTTCTGGCATATGCCATGTCTCCTACATCTCATATAAATCATATATATCCTACCTAGCTACCCATTCATCTTATAATATATATATATATATATATATATATATCATTCGAATAAAACTCTATATCTAACCAGAATATTCTATTGTTGTGTATATAAAAAGGAGATATAAATTACCCTCTATCAAATGATAGTTATTGTAGTGGTTACAAAACAGTTGCAATAACCAACATCATCGGTAGCAAAATGTACCAATTAAAAACCTCAGTTGACGTACGCTGCTCCTAGCTAACGTGCAACAACTAATGAGGCCGTCGATCGATGTCATCAGTTGACATTGACATTGATACCCATCCACCGCCACTAGAATTGATAACAATAAAATCATGACAAACAAAGTATGGAGTTTAAATCTATTAGTTATATTATCAAGGGAATGTAGATAGGTAGCTAGGATATGTGTTGATCATTGAGTAGAGATCTTAAATATTTCACTTTCTCAATCAGACCGATGTGATTTCTAGGACTTATAAAGCTGTTCACTTTTTCCCTGCACAATGGAGAAGTGGAGCTAGGGCTTAATTGGTTTGACCCTCGATGGAATTTAATAATGGTTTGATTAATCTTGAATGGAAATGATTAAGTCCATTGGATTAATTGATAAGTAGTTGGTTCTTAATTTGTGTATCATGGCCAAGTAATTAATAATGTAACAAGCATCTATAGTTAAGGTATTATGACACATTTCTTTAGGAAATATTTATAAAAATCTTTATTATGATTATATGTGTTTATTTGGTCATATTGTTTTAACAAGAAATCAACTTATTGTCTCGTTCCTTATTTTGTTATTACTTTTTAATCATTTTATTTTAATCTATATTATATTATAAAGCATTTGACAAATATTTTTAAAAACCATTTTTATGTATGAAGTACTATTTATTGATGCATATTAATTAAAATTTTAGGTTACAAGTAAACTGTGCATAAGTACAACTTATTAAAACTTCATGTTTGAATTCGTGTAACTAACTGCAGATAAAAATAATCAACTACAGGATAAACATCTCATTTTAAATATAAAAAATCTAAAATATAATTAGGATAATTATTGAGTTATACTTATAACAAAATATTTAATTATTATCCTTATAGAAATTATATTATTAAACTAAAATAAATTACTTCGTTATTAAACCTAAATTAAATTATAATAAAAAATTGAAGTAATAAACTACATACAAATAAGAATTTTTAAATAGTTAATTTGATAATAATATTAATATATTTTTTAAAATTTTTATAAATGTATACATTATTGCTTTTTTAAAGTCACATAAAACCGTATTATATCGACAAAGACAAAAAATAAAGCGAAACATTATATCGATGTATCTTGTTGCATTGCGCAAATATCCTTCTAGTAGATCTATAAAACATAACTACAACTCTACAAGATATATATGTTAAATTTTAATAAATATTTTTTTAAAAGACAAAAAACCCAATCAATTTTTTGATTTTGAATAATTTATTATCTAAACTACTCTTTTAAATAAATAACAAACTACTAAACTTTCTAATTTTAAATGATTAAGTCACTAAACTATTTTTTAATGAAAAAATCATTAAATTTTTTATTTTTTATTGAAAAACCATTAAAAATTTTCATTTTGATTGATCAAATCCCTGAATATCTTTTAATAAATAAACCATCACACTTTTAAAATTTAGTTGCCTAAAAAAGTTAAAGTAATTGACCAGTAAAAGTTTGATGGTTTATTTAAATAAAAAAAACTCAGGTCTTTATCATTCAAAATATGAAAATCTAATAGTTTTCTCATTCAAAAAATTAGTTCAGAGACTTGATTATTAAACATGAAAAAGTTTAATGATTTTTTTATTCCAAAAAATAGTTTATAAACTAAACCATTCAAAACGAGGAAGTTTGCTTAGGTTTTTTTTTCTTTTCCCTAAAAAAATTATAAATTTTGAAGCATTCATGTTATTTGTTTTAATAAGCTTAATTTGTAGATAACTAAATAAATTTATCAATACTATATTATAAAGCATTTGACAAAAACTCTTAAAAACTATTTTTATACATAAAGTACAATCAATTAATGCATATCATTTAAAATTCAAGATTACAAGTAAATTGTACAAAATATAACTTATTAAAACTCCATTTTTAAATTCGTATAACTAACTGTAAATAAACATAATCAAATACA